TAGTTAACTAATCTCTTACTCTTTGTTTTGTCTGAGGGATACAAAGTGGAGGGGAGGAAAAAGTAAGGAAAGTAATATCCTCATCCGATTAGACTAAAATACCAAAACATTAAAGTAAAACAACGAAATATTTCAACTAATAAATCTAATTTAATTGTCCAACTTTAAGCTAGTATTTCAATGGTTAAATATTAATTTTGGTCCCTCAACTTTATTGAGTTGTACTTTTTTGGTCCTTAAATTATTTTTTGTATTTTTTTGATCCCTTAACTCTAATAACTACACAATTTTGGTCTTTCCGTCAGTTTAAGTTGTTAACTCTGTCTATGTGGCATTTTTTTATATTTTTTTGTTGACAAGTATAATCTAATTGGAAAAAAATGATGACATGGATTGTCCAACTTGAAAAAATGATGATATGGATAAATAAAATCACACGTAAATAAATCTTTCTATTTTTAATAAAAAAATAAAAAACCTCTCCACCTAGTTTCTTCCCCCTCTTTCTTTCTCTTTCTTCCTCCTCCCGCTATTGCCTCCTCTACTGACCGAACCTAGCCAAGCTAGGATCCTCCCCCCTCTTTCTCTTCTTCCCCCTCTTGCTTTCTCTTTCTTCCTCCTCCTACTGTGACCCACCAAACCTTCTTCCCCCACGTTTTTTCTTCCTCCTCTGGCTACTGGGTTCATTTGAACCCAGAACACTGGGTTCCGTGGAACCTAGCAATTTGGGTTCGTTTGAACCCAAATTCAAGTTCCGCGAAACCCAACGATTTGGGTTAAACAAACCCAGTTTTGGGTTCCGTGGAACCTAGCAACATGGGTTTAAGGAACTTGAATTTCTAGGTTTTCAAACCCATATTTATAGATTTTTTTCATTTAGTAACTCTAGCAATTTCTATGCCTATATTGAACTCTTTTGTTTGATGGATTTTTGTTTCAAATATTGTGGTTGTGGGATGGTAATTTAGTATTATGAATACTACAAAAAAATTTTTGTATGTTTTGGTTTGGCTATTTTTCTTTTGAGTATATGATCATTAAGCTGGATTGAAGTAGTATGAATTTTCAAGGTTTTGATTTGGTTTTGAGAAAGCAAGAGGGGGAAGAAGAGAAAGAAGGGGGAGAAGGTTTGGTGGATCCTAGCTTGGCTGGGTTCGGTCAGCAGAGGAGGTAGTAGCAAGAGGAGAAAGAAAGAGGGGGAAGAAGATAGGTCGAGAGGTTTTTGTTTTTTTTTTTTTATTAAAAATATAAAAATTTATCTCCATGTCATCATTTTTTCTAGTTGGATGATCCATGTCATCGTTTTTTCCCAATTGGGTTATCTATGTCATAAAAAAAATATAAAAAATGCCACGTGGATGGAATTAACGGCTTAAATTGACGGAAGACCAAAATTGTGTAGTTGTTAGAGTTAAGAGATAAAAAAAGTGCAAAAAATAGTTTAAGGACCAAAAAAGTGCAATTCAATAAAATTGAGGGAACAATATTAGCATTTAACTTATTTCAATTTTACTCTTATCTTAAAAGAGATAGAAATACATTAGGAATTTTTTCATTTAATTACTACTTCATCTGTCCTAGAATAATAAATTTTTTTTTGATATAGAATTTGTCCCAAAATAATAGTTAGTTTTTTTTCTATTTAAAAGAAAACAGATATATATATTTTTTTCTTATTCTAACATTATGATTATCTAATAAAATAATATTTTATTTTTATTTTTTTAAGGGTAAAATAGGTAAAAATAAAATTTGTCCTCAAATATTTAATATAAAGATAAAATGAAAAAATATCTATTATTCTAGGCAAAGGGAGTGTAAGTATGGGTAAAAATAAAAAAAATAAAACCTAATTATTTTAATAAAAAGATAAAATTAGACAATTAAATTAGATTGAAACAAGTAATCAAAATACCTTGAGTTAGTTGAAGTTTCTTTGTTTTAATTTTTCTTTAAAAGTTGATGTAGTATTGTAATCTTACAATCATATTTATTTGGTTTAATTTAGTATACTTAGTTTTTTTATTCAATAAAGTAAAAATGTAATAATTTATTGATAAATCTTCCCTAAATAATCATCACTTAAAAAAGATTTCTTATAGTATTTAATATTGTTGTATTTATCTTGGATAAGTAGCTTTTACAAAACTTATTTAAAACCTACTTGAAAAACTAATTTTAAGTGTTTTTAGTCAACAAAATTTTAAATTTGTGAGAGAGAATGATGCTTTTAAAACAAGTGCTTTCTAAGTTTTACTAACCACCTCAATGAAAGTGTTTGGTAAAGCTTAAAAAACACTTACCTGACAACATAAATTTTTCTTTCATAAATTTAAAAATCCTGCTACATTCATAAGCAAGTGTCATCTTATAACTAAATTAACAATTTAAGTTTTGGAGTTAGTACTCAAAAAAAATTAATTTTTTTAAATGTATCAAATTGATGTGGAAATACATTTGGGAAAGATTAGTCTCAAATGGTGTAAAAAGTAACTTAAGAACATTTTGGTAGCAGATACAAAAAAAAAAAAAAAACCCCTCAAATATCTCCCAATGCAATAATGAATAATGCTAGTAACATTGCTTTAGCACTACTTTTGCACTTGTTGACGAACACCTAAGACATGCTGAAGCCATGGGGAAGGTTCTTTAAAGGCAAAACCCTATGTTTTCAATTAAGTTTTTAAATTTTTATTGAAGTAAATAAACTCCTAAATTACATGGGCCTTATGGCCCAACGGTCTTAAGCCGGTTTGTAAGGTGTATCCCCCAACTCGAGAGTTGGGGTTCGAATCCACCCTCCCCCATATTGGTAACCTGTTCAAAAATAAATAAATAAATAAACTCCTAAATTTTACAATTGAGCAATTTAATCTTTTTTTTTTTTACAATAAATTTAATGTTTGTTTGTGTTTTGTTTGCTTGAGCAAAGTTAATACTCTTCATATAAATAATGACATATTAATATTTTATCCACGTGAGTAAGGCATAAACATGTGTTAAGTTTGCCATAAATAAAATGGTTAAATTACTTAAATTGCTAAGTTTAGGAATATATTTACATTAATAAAAGTTTAAAAACTTAATTGAAAAATAGAATGAGTTTGAGGACTTAACATTTTCCCCTTCCTTTAACCATTTTTTTTTTTTTGAACAAATTCGTAAATGGTCAAATTCAAATCATTGCCCTGGAGTGAAGGAATGCACTTATACATAATATGACGTCACTGAACCTTATACATAATATGACGTCACTGGACTTAAAGACCGAAGTGCCTTTCCTTTACCCAATTAAACCATTACACTTGCCATTGGTTAAAGGAAATTAAAAAATTGGGGCAAGAGTTCACTCGCTCTTGCACTTGTCATTGGCTCCTTCGCCAAAACTCAAGAAAAATATATTTTTTATTTTTATTTTACTAACATCTCATTGATCAGTAATTAAATTTTAATTAATTTAAAATAGAATAATTCGAACCACTTATTCAGTAATAATTTTTTTAATTAAAATTTTTTTAATTAAAAGTAAAAAATATTAAATTTAAGTGGCATATAATATAAGGTGGTATAATGGACAAAAAGGAATGGTTGCAACCAACATCAAAAACCAAAAAAAGAAATTTGAATCACTCTACCTTATCTGAAAGAAAGCTTCACCTCCATTCAAAACTAATCTGGATCGAAAACTTTAAAAAGACGCAATTTTATCAACTTTAAGATACCCCCCACCATGTGAGTTGCCGGTTGTTCACCTAAAAGCAAGGCTGATGTGGCTTCAGCAGATCTCGGGTATCCATTGTCGAGTGCAAGGAGCGAGTGGGTGCTTCTAGCTAGCACTGCTCATGGGCAAATTCATCATCGTCTAGAATCCTATTTGTAAAGGATCCACCTTTAAGCCTAATATGCCAACGCTATCTTCACCGGTTCCTCACTTCGATCGTAGAAAGCTCGCAGTGTTGGTCCCAGTCGTTATGTTTCTCTGTATTGTCTTCCTTTTCGGCGTTCCGTCGAGCTTGTGGAGCAACTTCGCATATGCCGATCGCTCGGCTAAAGTTTACGGCTTTCAAATAGTCAATGAGTTTCCTCATGATTCCGCCGCCTTCACCGAGGTAACTTCCCTTACATTCCGTCTGTAATTCACTCGGATTAGTAGCAATTTGGTTCTTGTCTCTAATTTCAGTTAAACTTAAAATCTTGTTTTTTCAGTGCATTTTTAGGTCTATAGGAATTGTTTTTATTTCAAAATTATTCTGAAATTATAAATTTCAATATGGGGTTGTTAAATGATGGATATATTGTTTACCTTCAGGGGCTTCTATATGCAGGAAATGACACCCTTTTTGAGTCAACTGGGCTTTACGGGCGTGTGAGTTTGCCTTCTCTCCTTACTTGACTGACTGTTAATGCTACATTGAATGTTTCTGTTTTTTATTTTATTTTATTTTATTTTATTTTATTTCTCTTTCATCCCTTTCAAAGTAGTACAGTATAATGATCAGTATAAATAGGGTACTAACACTGATATGCGGACAATTTTTTTTTGCATAGCATCTCTTCATAACTTCCTCATGTTATTAAATGAGTGAATGGTCCTAGTATGCAAGAGTTCTTTCCCAATCATTTTCCGTATAAATGCTAGTGCTGCTTTAGTTGAACCTGTTTATTACTGATGCTATCTGTTCCATATGTATTTGGGAATATTTTACAATGTGGGTTTTGAGATGCAAGTTTGGAGACATTTTCAGATTTCATAACAATGTAATAGGTGTATATGATAGCAATTGCTGTCACAAAAATTTGCTGTTTCAATAGTAGGCTGTATTGTGTTGCATTCTGTCCTTGTAAATTTTATGTATTTCATTGCTTAACTTGCTATTTTGCTCTTCTGCTTTCAGTCATCGATCCGGAAAGTAGCTCTTCAAACCGGAAAGGTATAAATCACTCTTGTTTGGATTTTACATGAGTTTTTTTTATGCTTATTCAAGTATCACTCAAATTCTCTCATACGAGTATGATTGATCTAATGTAATTTTTAATCATAATACATTGGAAGTAAACTTATTTACAAGGAGATTTATTAATGGATGCAGTAAAGGTAGAGAAATTGATTTGAGTCAACTAAATAGCTATTTTGCCCGATTGGTTGGTTCATTGGCTTTGTTTCTGTTAACTGATGATTGATTGAGATATCAGTGTGATTAGTTTCAACAAGTCAGTTCATTATACTTTGGTTATTAATTACAAAAATCATATTTTCCAACTTTATTCTTCTCATTTATTCTTTTCTTTTATTTTGGCATGTACAGGTTGAGGATGTTCAAAAAATGAGTCGTTCATATTTTGGGGAGGGTTTAACTCTCCTTGGTGAAAGGTTAGTTAAGGGAAATATATGCATTTTGGTTCTAGTGCAGACACAAAAAAGAGCTCTTCATTCTCTTCGTCATTTTTTGTCCTGTTTAATTCTTGTAATCCACAATATTGTACGGCAACATATGTCAACACTTGCAAACTTACGTTGAATATTTCTGAAAATTTAAAGTAATTAAAGTTGATTTCTTGGTACACAGTATGCTTGTATAGGCCTTCAATTGATACCTGTTCTCCCAATCTGGTGTTGGTTTCTCTTTCTCATTCCTGTGGTATTTATTGATGCAGTTTTTTCATTTTCTGATATCAGATGTGAAGCAATGTGGGCCCTGAAAGATAAACATACTAATGTTATAGTTTATTTTCTTTTGTAGGTTGTTCCAAGTGACTTGGTTGAAGAAAATCGGTTTCACATATGAAAGAAATAATTTGCACAAAGTTTGTTCTTCCACTGTTTTCCCTTGTATATTTTCATGATTTCAGTAGAGCTTGCTTTGAGCATCCCAACACATAGAATTCTATGATTTGCTTTACCGATGGATTTGGATGTATTTCTATTTACTTCTATCTTGATGTCAAGGCTGAATCTGGCCACAAATATATATATATATATATATATATATGTCAGGGCTGAACACCTGTCTTATTCAACTTTTAACTTTTTTGTTCATATTTCCTTGTTTAACAACATATGTACAGGGCAGTTAACTGATATGATCAGATGCATGGTATAAATATGTGTTTGTAATGACTCCTCAAAATTCCTCAGACTTGTTTAGGGATTTCTAGATCCCCATGGTATATTGAATAGGGACTATAATAACTATTCTATTTAACTGAGTCCAGACTATTGGCATTCCATCATTATTCTGTTATAAAATTATTAGAGCATATGGTTTTAACTTTAGATCAGTAATGGTTTTTTACTACTATACTTTGTGTAGTTCAATGCATTCACTCATCAGATGAAAGATGGTTGGGGACTGGCAACTGATGGAAAAATCTTGTATGGAAGTGATGGGACTTCAACACTCTATCAGATTGACCCTGAAACATTGAAAGGTTTCAACCGTGTACCTACTATTTTCTTTCTACCTGATAATTTGATTTTCATTTTTTCACTTGTTTTCAAATTGTCAATTCCTAAAATTATCAGTGCTTCATCTCAACTGGTAGGTACAAGCTTCAACAGTCAAGTGTAAAATATTAAAACCTCTCTTTTCTTCAACTTCTCTTCTGTAACTATTTTGTCTCCTTAAATCCGGTGATAGTTTTTACTCTGATTTTAAGTTAGATTTCCCATGAACACCTCTGTTTACAATATTGTTGAAATTATTCTGTTCCTCAATGCAGTCATAGGGAAACACATTGTCAGATACAATGGTCATGATGTACGCTTCCTCAATGAATTGGAGTACATAAACGGTGAAGTTTGGGCAAACATTTGGCAGGTATATCTTGTTATGTTTTTACGATTTTCAAAACTTTTGGTATTCTCCTTTTGATGGATGTTGTTCATCATTATGGTGTGGAAACAGACTGAAGTTGCTCAATAAGAGATTTAGCCTGTTCTTTTATATATATTGGTTATGATCATGACAGCAGATGTCAAACCTCTTTCAAATAATAATCTCAAAAGAACAGCCATTGTATAAGGGAGGCTGTTCTTTCCTGACATTTACATGCTGAGCTTACCTTCCAAGGCCTACCCCCTGTCTAATACTTGAAACAGTTTCATTTCCTTTATATCACATATCTGGAAAGTAATTTGTTACTTGAAAGATTACTGCTGGATTTAAATAACTATCTGAAGTGCACCTATGTCTCCCTATAGACTGATTGCATTGTTAGAGTCTCTCCTGGAGATGGTTATGTGCTGGGCTGGGTTCTCCTTCAGAAACTAAGGTTGTGCTTCTCTCTCTCTCTCTTTCTCTCTCTCTCTCCTTTTTTCTATCTTCTTCTTGAAAAAGGAGTAGAATTACAAGTAGCAGGTATGAGTTGAACTTGAACTGGGCAACTCAAGGGTACCAAGCTCTTAGGCTTGGGCTATGAACCATTAGGCTACTAGGCTGGTTCTGCCTCTCATTTTATCTAATATATGTCCCCAACTTAGAGCATGTTTGGTGAAGCTTGTAAGTGCTTCAGCTTTTTGACATTATTTATGTTCATACATTTAAATTTTTCTCTTAAAAACTTACATGTTTTAACTTTTTTTTAACCTTAAAAGACCTTAAACAGTGAATTTTAAAAAGTTTTAAACTTTTACTTTTTATAAACTCCCTTTTTACTCACTTTTATTATTTTTAAAAACAACTTTTAAATTTTCCCTCCAATAAAAATTTAAACTTATGACTCATAAACAATACTAAAAAATGTAAAAGCTCCAAGAAGCTCCACCAAACAGGCCCTTAATCGTACGAACTAAATATTTTTCTTTATTCTTTTACAGTGAAGGACTAATTGCTGCTGGTTACAATGTAAGCATCTAAATCCAAACACAAACGTGTGTATTTCATGTGTGACTCTCTCTATGTGTGTGTGTTTTGTTTTTGGTTTTTTCCTTCCTTTTTTTTTTCCCTGAGAAAATAAGTATGTTGTTGAAGGTTTGTTATTTCTAGCTTCCTAACCTAATCCATGTATTTCAAAATTTCACCATGTTCTAGGGTATTGATGTTTTGAATGGCATAGCATGGGATGATGACAAGAAGCGCATTTTTGGTAAGCTCCAACGGAATTTGATGTGCCTTCAAAAACATTATCAATTTCTTATGTTTTGTTGTGTGCAGCCTTTCCTATGCTAATGAGAGATTGTTTTCTGTATGCCGTACGCATCTTACTAAACCCCCTGTTTGATTTTGTAGTGACTGGAAAGCTATGGCCGAAGCTTTATGAAATCAAGTTGCTTCCAAGAACCAAACCTCTTAAAGATGGAGCCATCGAGCATCTTTGCTTACGATAAAATGCCAGACTTGCACCCATGGTGTTTCACTTGTAACATGTATTAAGCAGATGTGGAACGGAGTTACGGACCATACCCCCCTTACTACTTAAATTTTATGTTCTTAGAGTTATTGTTTTACTTTGGATGGGATTTAGCACTTAAGAATCATGTAAATTAAACAGAATTTAGGATCATTAAAATGCCAACTCCACTTTATTTGAAATCAATTGTTCTGGTTTTCGTTTCAAATTGTTCAGGTTTTTTCTGTTTGTATGAGTTATGACCATGTTTGTGAGTTCAAGCAAGCATGGATTCAAACATCTTTCAAATCTCTAAAGTTTCTTTATCAGTTTCAACTTTCAAGTTCAAGCAGGCTGGTAGTGATTTTTCATTTTTTATCTCTATTTTTCACATAAAAGAAGTGTTAAACAATTTAGATTATATAAGATTATATAATATTTATTATTAAATAAGAGATAGAAGCTTGATATAAAAAGGCTCTTTTTCGACTTATATCTCATATTTTACTATCTAGAATAATCTAAATTATAAAATAGAAAACAATTTTCACATTATATTTACAAAATCAATTCTACTTCATGAGCCAGCCAGTCCTTGTTGTTTACTTATATAAGTAAAGTTGGGTTTCAATAAACTTAAAAAAAAAAAAGAAAACAAGAGATAGTTACTACCAAACCAATTTAGAAAACTTTTCCTAAGAAATTAAGTACTTTTTTATTGAACAAAAACCATGTACTTAAGTGTGTACCAAAAAACTACTCTTTTGTGCGTGATAAATATCATGTGTTTGTTTATACATATATATATATATTAGATGATTGATAATATAATAAAAAATAACATTCTCCTCTTCAAACTTTTTATCACCTATTTTAAAATTAAAATTTAAGATTTTGTTATAGAAATTTAAACTCTCAAACACATGAATGTTTCTTAAGGGATTATATTATGTGTTTGTTAGAAATTACCAATTTATTGTAATGCTATTTACAATTAAAGTTTATAATTTATAGACGTGTAATTTCATACTTATCAATAAGATTTCATTGTCTAACTCCCTACATAAAAATGATTTAATTTAGTTTTCCTACTTAAACGTTAAATATTGATATTTCAATTTTAACTTATCTCAAAAGAGATGAAAATATGTTAAGATTTTTTTAATTGTAAGTAAGGTAGAAATATAAAGTAAGTTTTAATTATTATAATAAATAAACCTTCTGCTAGATAATTGAGATAATTAAATCAAGCAGGAGAGACAATGT